CGGCCCTGGGCAGAGGCAGTAGCTGCGGTGGTGACGGTCCCCATCCCACAGCCCTCAGCTGGGGTGCTCCTGGGGGTCCTGATGGAGGTCCCCATGCATGCACCCATCATGCATGGGGCCACTGGCAGAGCAAAGTCACTTGTGCAAAGTGGCTGCAAACTGCACCTGGAAGCCTGGGCCAAGGGCTGCTGAAAGCTGCTCCCCGCTCAGCTTGAGGAGCAAATAGCCTCATGGAGGCATTTGGTCCAGGCTGCCCATCAGTCCCCTTCCCTGGGGACCCCTGTGGTGGCAGCTGTCGAGCTGCTGCTCTCTGGCTCATCCCTCGCTTTGGCCTGGAACAGAGGAGGGGACTGAGGAACTGCTGCCCCAAATCTCTGAAAGCAAATTCAGTTTGTGCCCCTGCTCCCTGCAGGGATGCTGCCTGCAGCTCAGGCAATGCCGCGGTTTCGAGGAGCATCATTCCTCTTCATCCTCCCCACAAAGCTTTTACCCAGCTTAGTGAGCCCTGGCCCCATGAACCCCCCGTGCCACCCCTCGGGACGTGCTGAGGAAAGCCAGGCAGACTTTGTGCTCCCAGAAACAGGGTGGAAACAACCACGGCCCGGCAGATATCTGGGACAAAACCTTCATTTAAAGCGAGCTGGTGTTTTCCCTGCAGCTGTGCTGCATCAGGTGCCCTGGCTGAGCCAGGAAAGAAGCACCTAACCTGCGCCCGGAGGAAGAGGAGGTGTCACAAAGGCACGCGCTCGCCGCTGACAGCTCTGAGCAGTTGTTTGACTGAAGGAGAAACTCTGGTGTCAGCTCAAAAGCACCGAGCTTGTAATACAGGAAATGCTAATATTTGCCTTAATTTGGTGCCATAACCAGCCACGCGAGCCCAGGGTGCCTGCACCAGAGGGCTCACGGCGATGGAGGTAGGGGATGGGGAACCGAGGTGTCGGGCTCCCTCCGGGCTCCTCCTGACCCGCTCCTCTCCACCTGAAGCACAAGGTTTTGGCCAGGTTGGGTTGAAGCTGAGCAGCTCCTGGGGTCACCGACAGCTCCCTGGGTGACAGCACAGTGACCTGGAACGGATGACTGAGCCCACCTGCATTTTTCTGGGTGGCTTTTCCAGGGGCTTATTAGGATGGAGGGGAGGAAGAGGAGGGGAAGGCAAGAAAAAGGCCCATAAGCAACAAACAGGAGGAAGAGAAGGAGCTCCCCACACGGTTTCAGGCTGCATGAGCAGCCCAGATCCCCCCTGGACCCCCTGAGCTGACCCAGGTCCATGCATCCCAAGGGAAGGTGGTGGGACAGCAAAGCCAAAAGCCCCTCTGCCGGCTATGGGGGCTTGAGTTGCACTTGGGGTTTGGAACGGCATGGATTGTGTTTTGGGTCGCAAAGCCCAGCAGTCCAGCGGGGAGGGAGGCGGCCGGGGGGAGCAGCACAATGCTGCCGAGCTCCTCTGTGCTCCATGACGGTCCCTCCATCCCCCATCACGATGGTGCCAGGTTGTGCTGAGCATCCCGCAGTGGGTGCGGGGGGCTGCAAGCAGCCTGCGAAAATCAGGGGCAGACGGGAGGGTGCAAAGGTGTCAGGGTCCGGAGGCCTGAAATCTTGAGAGCCAGCAGGAAAATGAAGCAAAAGGGGAAGAGGAGAAAAGGGAAATGGAAAGAGTAAGAGGCCCGGGGCGATGGGGGGAGGAGAAGTGAAATTGGTGCCGGGAGCGCTGGGGTGAAAGCGGAACTGCGGGGGCCACGGGATGGGTGCAGAGGAGCCGCGGGCAGGTTCAGATGGGGCGTCCCCTCCTGGGCACCACGCCGGGGACCACACGGGCACTGCAGCTGTGTTCAGCAAGTTTCCTCTGCAGCATCAAGGACAAGGAGCCTTTGAGTAGTTTTCTTTTTGCACGGTGAAATCTTACCCTCCCCTCCCAGCCCAGGGCTCTGTTTAGCCCCCCAAGGGCTTAAATCACAGCCCAGTTTTCCTGCTGCCCCACGGCCCCCGGCAGACAGAGCCGGGCAAGTTGGGGGGGCGGCTGGAAAGCTGGTGCTGGCATCTCCCTGTGCAGGGAGGAAAAGGTGATGGGGACACAGTTGCACCTCTGCCCTAGTGCAAAGGGGACGCGGGGGCGCAGAGGATGCACCCACTGACTGCAATTTTTGCCCTTCCCCTGGGTTATTTTTGCTGCCCCTTTGACTCATAAGCAGAGCCTGTGCAGCAACTGCTTCGTTAGTCCTTCATTACCTCCGTAACGAGCAGGGGTGATGTTACAAACATGCCCGCAGGCTGTCAGTGCCCCATCTGCTCCTCTCCAGGGTGTCAGACGTGGGGTGAGGCAGGATCCAGCCAGAGGGATGGGGCAAGCCCCAGGTGCAGCAGCGCTGAGATTTTGAGCTTTGCGAGTTCCCAGCAGGGCCAAAACACCCCTCTTTGCACCACCCGAAGGTGCCTGTTTTGGAGCCACAGCTAGGGTGGGGGCCAGTTATAGCTACCAGCAGCTCAGGGGGAGCTGGGGCCAGATCCAGGCCTGGAGTCCCACTCCCGTCAGTGGTGGCCCCGGTGCAGTCGCTGTGGCCCTCTCCCCGCAGGGCAGCAAGGAGCGCTTCCACTGGCAGAGCCACAATGTCAAGCAGAGCGGCGTGGACGACATGGTCCTGCTCTCCAAGATCTCCGAGGAGGCCATCGTGGAGAACCTCAAGAAACGTTTTATGGACGATTACATCTTTGTATCCTTCCCGAGGCAGCGGGACAGGGCTGGGGAGTGGCAGGGCTGTGCTCCAAGGCTTTGCCAGGGCATGGGCCAAACTGGGGCTGCCCCAATGCTTGCAGAGTGTCCCGTCCCCAGACTGTGGTAGGACAAGATTGGGATCGGCTGGGGGAATGCTGCCGTTCCCAAGCTGAGTTGCACTTGGCAGAGACACTGCAACCGTGACCCCCATCCTGCCATGCCCCGAGACCCACTTTGGTCCTTCCTTTGCGGCCACAAAGCCCTAAGCAAAGAGCACTGAACAAAGCCCCTCATCTGCTGTCTCCCACTGCTCCTGCACACTGGAGACCCGCCTGCCTGTGCCAGAGGGGCCGGACCCTGGTGGCAGTAGTGGCCATCGACCCAACCCCCCAGATGCCCACAGCGCGCCCTGGCTGCTCTGCACCCACAGCAAATCCAAGCAAACCTTGGATGGAGTGGAAGCATCCCTGCAGGCACGGGAAGGAGGTGCCACCCCTCACTCTCCACCGGTGTCAGGCCACATGGGATACCACCAAGCCAGCGCAGGGTGCAAAGCTCCCACCCTGCCCAGTGTTGCCCCCACTGCGCCATCCCCCAGCCCAAAGGGTTTTGCAGTCGCTGGCTCCCATCACAGACGTGGCACTGCTGAGCACCGTGCACGAGGCTCGGCAGCTCTCGGGCTCTGCGGTGCGGATGGGGAGGTGTCCCCACGCCCACGATTCGAGGTGCTGAGCCCTTGCCTTGCCCGCCCCACACCTGCTTGAGGACGCGGCCAGCTCAGCGCCTCGGCACCATCGCACACGCTTCACCTGCACCCCAGCTCCAGTGGGTGGCCGGCTCTGGTGGGGAAGAGGACAAAATCCCTGCTGCGCAGAGCAGGGCACGGCGGGGTCTTGGGTGGCAGTGGAGCTGAGCACGGGGGTGAGCCGCTTGCTCACGCCGCTGCGAGTGGCTGTGGTTTCCCTGAAGATGCGGCTCTGTCCTTACAAGGCGATGCTCTGTCCCGGGCCGGCGGTGACGCAGCCATCCTCCCCACTCTTTTGGCAGCCCTGGGGCTTTAAATGTGTTTAGCAGTTGGGTTTGGGGTTGGCTTTTGTTTTTTTCAGACGCAGCCTCTTTCTTCCTTTTTTTTGTGCTGCTGCGCGCAGGGCCCCCATCTAGCCGTGACTCAATGCCCCACGCTTCTGCATTTCCCAGAAAAGCCCCTCTCTTCCTGCCCTTCAGCTGCTCTTCCCCCGCCCCGCTGTCAGGTGGGCCAAAAATAGGACATCGAGGGCTCGGGGTAAACCTGCTGGCACTGTCCCCGACCTCGATCTCCCCAGCACCTGCCCTGGGGCACTGGGGGCTCATCCCCATCCTGCTACTGCATCATTTCCAGGCGCAATTCCCCACTTTTCCATTCCCCTGCCCACCCTTGGGTGACTCGGGGATGCTGCAGGCAGGGGCCAAGGGAGGCGGAGTGGCTGGGTGGCCGGGGAAAGGCAGGAGCTGGTGGTTTCTTTCCTCTATGTGCCTTAGTTTCCCTGGTTGTAAAATGGAGACAGTCTCCTGCTGCAAAAGCCGCAGATGGAGCATGAGCAGCTGAGCAGAGGGCGAATTCCGGGAGGGATGCTGGAAATGCCACTTCTGGAGCCGATCCTCAGCCAGAGGCCAGGGAGCTGAGGCGATGCTCCTGCTGTACCCTGCACCGATCACACCGCGGGGGACACCCTGGGGCTGAGGGGGCGAAGCACTGGGTCCCCGTGGCCGGGATAGCACCAAGTCATGGCAGCAGCTCTGCCTGCACCCGAGCTGAAAACCCTCGTGGTATTCCTGGTGCAGCTTCCAGGATGAGGCAGGGACCCCCCGCAACGACCTTCCTGCCATTGCTCTTACTGATGCTGCCTCCTGGGAAGGAAGGGGCAGCGGGAAGGGACATGGGAAAGGACGCAGAGACCTTAACCTGCCACTCAGACCTACATTGGGCCGGTGCTCATCTCCGTCAACCCCTTCAAGCAGATGCCGTACTTCACCGACCGGGAGATCGAGCTGTACCAGGGGGCGGTGAGGCTGCTGCGTGCCAGCTGGCGGGGTCGGCCAAGGGTTCACCGGGTTTAATTTGGAGCGAAACACCTGGGGGGTGTCCCATGAGTGTCACTGTCCTCCCCAGCCCTTTGGGTGCTGCAGGGGTCAGTGCTCCCAAACACATTGATGGAGAGTCAGTAACGAGACTCAGGAGCAAATCCACGTTCCTGGGAAATTCAGCTCAGAAATATACAGCAAAGCAACCCAAACATGGTAAAATCCAGCCCGAGTGACTAGCTCTGCTGCAACAAGCTTCCCAAGGAGGAGGGGAGAGTCGAAAAAACATCTGACATGCTGCTGATTAGCTCATGTTTGTGGCAAGAGACTAATTCCCCATCCCTGCTGTGTGCCACTGCCTTGTGCAATGCACGAGCAGAGTTAAGGGGATTTGGGGAGGGTGCTCAGGGCGGGAGCTGATGGCTGCTCTGTGCTCAGCGTTGCTGCCCTTGTCCCCCGTTTAGGCTCAGTATGAAAATCCTCCCCATATCTACGCCCTGACCGACAACATGTACCGCAACATGCTGATCGACGGGGAGAACCAGTGCGTCATCATCAGGTAGGGGGTACGCGGGGCGCAGCCGGAGACCCCGTGCCACCGCTCCGGGGCCGGCTGTCCCCATCACCCCTTCTCCCCACACCCTGGGGGCATCCCGGCTAAACACAGCAGCCGGGCAGCGGCAAGAGGCGGCTGAAGCCCAGTGGTGGATCCTGGAGGACCCTGCTCATGGGGGTGCCTGGAGGGACCCCGGCGTCCTGGGCCATGAGCACCAGGCGGGGCTGAGACAGGGTTGTCCCAGGCAGGGACCGAGCCTTGTGCAATGCACCTTTCCGGCTGAGTGTTGCAAGGAAAATGGTCAGGATGTGGGGCAAGGCCAGAGGCTTCCCCTTGAGGCTCCCAACTCTCCCTCCTCCCCTCCAAAATCCAGCAACAAGAAATCCAGCGTCTCCTCCTGGAGCAGCTCCTCACCCAGCCTTGCTCTGGCCCCGCTTATATCCCAGAGCACCCGGGCAGCCCCGTCCCGGGCATTAGCGCTGCCACACGCTCAGAGTATGTGGCAGGAAGGAGGCCACAGCCCCCGTCACCTGCCATCACCCCCCAGCCCTGCTCCAGCATCCCACCCCACCCCAGGACGGGTGACTCTGGTGGGGCCGTTTCACGTCTCCTCTGCTTTGACATTTGCACAGCGGAGAAAGCGGGGCCGGGAAAACGGTGGCAGCGAAATACATCATGGGCTACATCTCCAAAGTGTCCGGGGGTGGTGAGAAAGTGCAGGTATGGCTGCCCCCCACCGCACTGCCACGCATTGCTTCACCTCCCAACCTCCCCCCACTGCCCTGGCCCCTGGCTCCCCCCATCTGATGATGGCACACGGAGCAGCCCCGGCTCCAGGGCTGGGGACACGCAAAGCCCCGGGTTTGTCCCCAGCCCCGAGGCAGGGCTGCTGCAGTGGGGCACAGGCGTGCGGCCCCCCCGACTCAGCCCTCTCCCTCCTCTACCCCCAGCACGTGAAGGACATCATCCTGCAGTCCAACCCGCTGCTGGAAGCCTTTGGAAATGCCAAAACCGTCCGGAACAACAACTCCAGCCGCTTTGTAAGTCACCAGGGCAGGTGCAGAGGGTCAGCGCCATGGCCAGAATCCGTCCCAGCAATGCTCCTAGCGTGGCGGGAGAAGGGGGAAGAGAAGCCAGGGCTGGGGGGAGTGAGGAGTCCTGACGGCCAGGGCCACTGCTCTGAGCGGGAGCTGTGCCGGGGCAGGGGAAGTACTTCGAGATCCAGTTCAGCCGGGGTGGCGAACCCGACGGGGGGAAGATCTCCAACTTTCTGCTGGAGAAGTCGCGGGTGGTGAGCCAGAACGAGTGCGAGAGGAATTTCCACATCTACTATCAGGTACAGGGGGCACGGAGCCAGCCCAGGCTGCCATGGGGGAGGCCAGGGGCTGGGTAACTGCAGCTCTCGTTTCTCTCCCAGCTCATCGAAGGGGCGTCCCAAGAGCAGCGGCAGAACCTGGGCATCATGAGCCCGGATTATTACTACTACCTGAACCAGTCGGACACGTACCAGGTGGAGGGCACAGATGACCGCAGCGACTTCCATGAGACCATGGTGAGTGCCCGGGAGGGCATTTGGGAGGACTTTGGGAGTCCCCAAAGCTGGCTGCGGCCGGGCAGGGGCTGACAGGCTCCCCACGCCCCCAGAACGCCATGCAGGTCATCGGCATCCGGGGCGAGGACCAGCAGCTAGTGCTGCAGATCGTGGCGGGGATCCTCCACCTGGGAAACATCAGCTTTCGGGAGGAAGGCAACTATGCTCGGGTGGAAAATGCTGACTGTGAGTAGCCGGCTCCCCCTGCAAGGGGGGGGCAAGTGGGGATGTTCGCAGAGACCCTTGGCAATGAATTGCAAACTCTCCATAGCACAAATCCCCTGGCAGAGGAGAGAGGCAGCATCAGCATCTTCCCCATATTAGACATGGGGAAATTGAGGCAGCGAGCAAATGGCACAACCAGAGCTTAATTAGCAAGGGGACAGATGCCAGGAGTCGCTTGCTGTGATTTAGCAGAGGGAGGACCATGTCCCACGTCGCCAGTCGCTGCACTGCTGCTGTCCTTTGCACTTGGACAGGGCTGGGGGGTCCAGCAGCGGCTGCGGGCAGCGTGCCTGGGGCGTACAGGGAGCAGGCAGCCCTGACCGGCCCCCCCACTCTGCCCAGCCCTGGCCTTCCCTGCCTACCTGCTGGGGATCGACCAGGACCGCCTCAACGAGAAGGTCACCAGCAGGAAAATGGACAGCAAGTGGGGCGGCCGCTCCGAGTCCATCACTGTCACCCTCAACGTGGAGCAGGCGGCTTACACCCGGGACGCCCTGGCCAAGGGGCTCTACGCGCGTGTCTTCGACTTTCTCGTGGAGGTGTGTGGTCCCGGTGGGCTGGGCCAAGCGCGGCCGCGGCGCAGAGAGGATGCTCACCATCCGCTCCTGCACGCAGCCCGGGCTGGGCCAAGCGCAGCCGCGGCGTGGAGATGATGCTCACCATCCGCTCCTGCACGCAGCCGGCCCCCCCGCCCTACGCCCCCAGTGAAGGTGGCTCATCCCATCTCTCCCTGTAGTCTATCAACCGGGCTATGCAGAAGCCGTATGAGGAGTACAGCATCGGGGTGCTGGACATCTACGGCTTCGAAATATTCCAGGTATGTGGTGCTTTGCTGTAGGAGCCCAGCTGGGGAATGTCCTTCCCTGCTCCTGCAGCAAGGAGAGCGGCTGTTAGCTGTCGATGGCCCTAAGAAGGGTCCCTGGAGCAGCGCCCAAAGGCTCTGCTGTTTGGGGTCCCCCCCAATGCGGTGAGAGGAGCAGAAGCCAACACAGCCCCATCTTCTCTTTCATCTTTTGTCCTTTTGCAGAAAAATGGCTTTGAGCAATTCTGCATTAACTTTGTGAACGAGAAGCTGCAGCAGATCTTCATAGAGCTGACCCTGAAGGCAGAGCAGGTATGGAGGGGGCTGGGCTGGGGGGGCTGCGAGGCTGCACCAGCACCCCGATTCCTGCACCCTGCACCCCCGCCGCCAGCCGGTCCCGGCACCACGGCCGGATCAAGGTGGCTGCAGCATATCCCACATGTCAGGGGCCCACCCGTCTCTCCCTGCACTTCCCCAGGAGGAATACGTGCAGGAGGGGATCAAGTGGACCCAGATCCAGTACTTCAACAACAAGGTGGTGTGCGACCTAATAGAGAACAAGCTGGTGAGTGGGGTCCCCTCCTCCAGGGGAGGATTTCTCGGGGAGCTGAGGCACCCAGGGAGAGGGGTGCCGCACGGGTTGGGTGCTGTCGAGGGCGGGTGGCAGAAGCTGGTCCTGCCCGGGGAGCATACTTGGGGGAGCAGCAGCTCTGCGTCCTTAACCTAAGCTGCAGTTCAGCATGAAGCAGCTTTGACCAGTGCGGGGCACTTGAGCACAGCCAGATGCAGGATTTGGCCCTGCTCGCAGCCTTTGGACACGCATGGCTTCACTCTCCCTCTCCCAGAACCCGCCCGGAATCATGAGTGTCCTGGACGATGTCTGTGCCACCATGCATGCCACCGGCGAGGGGGCAGACCAGACACTGCTGCAGAAGCTGCAGGCAGCTGTGGGCACCCACGAGCACTTCAACAGCTGGAGCTCGGGCTTCGTCATCCACCACTACGCAGGCAAGGTATGGCACCGCACACCCTGCACCCCACGGCCCTGGCCACAGCGGCACGGAGCTGAGCTCCCCTCCTGTCCCCAGGTCTCCTACGATGTGAACGGCTTCTGCGAGCGCAACCGGGACGTGCTCTTCACCGACTTGATCGAGCTCATGCAGAGCAGCGAATAGTGAGTCCTGGCAGCGCCGCGATCCCGGGGGGCCACCCCAAGAGGGCTGGGGCAGAGGGCAGCATCCTCAACATCCAGACCATAAAGCTTTGCTGGTCCTGCCTCTGCCAGAGCCGCAGCTCGGGGTGCTTAGCATCCTGCATCGCCCTGCAGGCACCGGTGGCACCCCCCCATCGAGCGCAGTGGCACCCAGGGGCTGCAGGGCGGAGGGGTGCTCACCCAGCAGCACCGATCCTGCCCAGCCTGGGGATAGTCAGGGGGGAGAGGCTCAGCCACGGTCCAGGATTTCTCAGCAGCAGAAAGCAGAGCTGGAGCTGGTTCCAGCTCAGCACCTGCTGAGCTTGGGGAGCCTGGCGGCTCTCACCCAGGGACTGTCACCTGCCTTTCAGTGGTTTCATCCGGATGCTTTTCCCAGAAAAGCTTGATTCTGACAAAAAGGGACGACCGACCACCGCGGGCTCCAAAATCAAGGTACATCCTGGAGGCTGCAGGACAGTAGCTGCAGCAGGGTGATGGGCTCCCACCAACGCCTTTAACGCTACAGAGGTCGATCTTTGCAACAGAAACAGGCTAATGACCTGGTGAACACGCTAATGAAGTGCACGCCACACTACATCCGCTGCATCAAGCCCAACGAAACCAAGAAACCCCGGGACTGGGAGGAGAGCAGGTAACAGAGGCCCCTCGCGATGTATCAGTGAGCCCACAGAGCCCGGGGAACGGGACCCGGCCATGGAGATGTGGCCAGGACTGACTTTCCTCCAAAAACTGCACCCCCGGGCTGGTCCCTCTGTGCTGCCCCCAGACCCAGGGGAGCAAGAGGTGAGTGCTGAGGAGCATGCGGGGACACACATGCCTCTCTACATGCATCACGCAGAGGCTCCATCTGAACCCCAAGATGCTCTCACGTGTGCACAGCTGAGGGCATCCCCATGCAAAGTGGTGGCCAAGGGGTCTGGGCAGGTCCCCCACCGACCTGCCATCCCATGCCAAGCGTGTCCCTCCCGGCTCCGCAGGGTGAAGCACCAAGTCGAGTACCTGGGACTGAAGGAGAACATCCGGGTGCGCCGGGCAGGTTTTGCCTACCGCCGTCTCTTCCACAAATTCCTGCAACGGTGAGCGACCACCGGGATGGGGGATGGCGGGTCCCCGCGGCCCGGCCGCGACTCACGTCCCCTGTCCCGGCAGCTATGCCATCCTCACCCCCGAGACATGGCCATCCTGGCGCAGGGACGAGCGGCAAGGGGTGCAGCACTTGCTGCGCTCCGTCAACATGGACCCGGACCAGTATCAGATGGGTCGGAGCAAGGTGTTTGTCAAGAACCCCGAATCGGTAGGTGACCCGGCTCTACCTCTCGCCCCACAACCCAGCATCCCCGGGGGACGCTGCACGCAGCCGAGCATCGCTTTGGGCAACGCTGGGGAGGGTTTGGGGTGCCGACATGCGGGAGAAGCGATACAGCATGGGGGCTGGGGGGCCTCCGACCGGCCGGGCTCAACACCCCTTGTCACCCCCAGCTCTTCCTCCTCGAAGAGATGCGGGAGCGGAAATTCGACGGCTTTGCCCGGGTGATCCAGAAAGCCTGGCGTCGGCACGTCGCCATCCGGAAGTATGAGCAGATGCGAGAGGAGGGTAAGGCCAGGCAAGGACGGGGACACCGGCACCCCGGCACCCCTTTTAGGGTGTCCTTTGCTGGGGACAGCCCAGCTGCCAGAGCAGCAGGAGAGCAGCAGCCAGCCTCCTAATTGTGGCACTAACGCGGAGGGGGGGTGAGGAGGGACTGGAGCATGAGATGCCCCGGGGTCTTTTCGTACATCTTAAAGGAGGGTGTGGATTTCTTGCTCCTATTTCCAGCCCTGGGAGGGGCCGTAGGACAGAAACCGGAGCCTCTCGCTGTCTCTCGGCATTTCATTGCCCGCAGTGAGATGGAGAGAAGTAGCTGAGAGTCAGCATTTGCAGAAGGATGGGAAAGGCCAGTGGTCACCGCCTGACCCCATCACAGGCATTTTCCCACCCTCCCAAGCTTGCAGTGAAAAATCAAGTGGGAAAACCCAGAAAACAGCTGGGTCCCTCCCTTCCACAGCACAAGTTTTTTTGAGGGCGATTAACGGGTTTTGAAGCCAGCCAAGCTCAAGCAGCTCAGATTCCTCCTGTGGCATAAGACGAGCCCCACTTCTTGCTGCCACAGTCCATGCGATGATTCCCACGGCTCCTGCAGCCGGTTTGGGAGGGCAGGCAGGCAGGGGCTGAGGGCTGAGCCGAGGGCCGAGCCACCGGCGCAGAGCCCTGTCCGACTGGCATCGTTTCGGGGTCCCGTGCAGCCTCCAACATCCTCTACAACTTCAAAGAGCGGAGGAGGAACAGCATTAACAGGAATTTCGTGGGCGATTACCTGGGCATGGAGGAGCGGCCAGAGCTGCGCCAGTTCCTGGCCAAGCGGGAGCGGATAGACTTCGCTGACTCCATCACTAAGTACGACCGGAGGTTCAAGGTACATGGAGCCACTCGGGGGCTTGGGACAGGCCAAGCCATGACTTGTGGTAGCTGCCCTTGGATGGGATGTGTGTGGGGCTCGTGCCCCCCCCAAAACACCCCCTCACCCCCTGCTCCTGCCCTTTCCCAGCCCATCAAGCGGGACTTCATCCTCACCCCCAAGTACTTCTACCTGATCGGGCGGGAGAAGGTGAAGAAAGGTCCTGAGAAGGGGCAGATCAAGGAGGTGCTCAAGAAGAAGGTGGAGCTCCAGGCGGTGAACGGCGTCTCACTGAGGTGCGTCCCTTAGCACAGGCTCCGCGGGGAGGGGTCCACACTGTCGGGTTTCACCCATCAGCTCCACCAGCCCCTCCGTGCTCTGGTGCCCCCCGCCAGGCCCCAGCCCCTCGCCTGTGGAGGCAGCAGGGCATTGGGCCATGGCATTGGGCCATGGGCAGAGTGCTTTGCAGGTGGGGCTTTGGAGGCCGGGGAGGTTTCCAGCTAAATCACCCTCCACGTTTGCTCGGGCTGGACCCAGGCTCAGCAGGGTCTCCCGGCTCCCCCCCAGCACCAGCTGGCACCAGCCTTGCCCCCGCTGACACCCCCGCGCTGGGGTTGCTCCCCCAGCACCAGGCAGGATGATTTCTTCATCCTCCACGAGAATGATGCCGACAATTTCTTGGAATCCATCTTCAAGACGGAGCTGATCAGCCTGCTGTGCAAACGCTACGAGGAGCTCACCCGCACCAAGCTGCGCCTCTCCTTCAAGGACACGTAAGGATGGAGGCCGGGAGAGGTGACAAAGCAGGATGGGGTCCCATCCCTGTGGCCTTCACGGCCCCTCTCTCTCCCCCAGACTACAGTTTCGGGTGAAGAAGGAGGGTTGGGGCGGTGGCGGCACCCGCAACGTCATCTTCGTCAGAGGACAGGGCGACGTGGCCACCCTCAAAGCCGGAGGGAAAACCCTTACAGTCAGCATCGGGGATGGGCTCCCCAGGAATGCCAGTGAGTGCCAGGGTGCCTGGGGGGTAGCGGGGG